CGCAGTGCCATTGGGATTTGCGCAGCCTTGGTAGAAAGTGCGTTTGCATGGCGCCGTGCCACTGGGGAGCGCGAAACAGGCTGGCGTAAGCGCGGCGTGTCGCTGGTGAGCGGGATGATTTGTGGTATCATGTGACATGATTGCTTTTAGTGTTTGGGCAGACCGTGTGGCGACGCGACGTTCGTGACGCAGTGCCATTGGGATTTGCGCGGCCTTGGTGGAAAGTGCGTTTGCGTGGCGCCGTGTTAGTGGGGAGCGCGAAACATGCTGGCGTAAACGCGGCGTGTGGCTGGTGAGCGGGATGATTTGTGGTATCAAGAGTGTCCCAAAAGAGTGCCCCGCAGGAGCTTCCTACAAGAGTGACCCACAAGAGTGTCCCACAAGAGTGTCCGACAAGAGTGTCCCATAAGAGTGACCCACAAGAGTGTCCTATAAGAGTGTCCCACAAGAGTGTCCTACAAGAGTGTCCCGTAAGAGCGTCCCACAAGAGTGTCCTGTAAGAGTGTTCCACAAGAGTTTCCTACAAGAGTGACCCACACGAGTGTCCTACAAGATCCTACAAGAGTGTCCCACAAGAGTGTCCCACAAAGTGTCCTATAAGAGTGTCCCACAAGAGTGTCCTACAAGAGTGTCCCACAAGAGTTTCCTACAAGAGTGTCACACAAGAGTGTCCCACAAGAGTGTCCCACAAGAGTGTCCTACAAGAGTGTCCTACAAGAGGGTCCTGTAAGAGTGACCCTGTCTCACAAGAGTGTCCCTTAAGAGTGTCCTACAAGAGTATCCCGCAAGAGTTTTCTACAAGAGTGTTCCACAAGAGTGTCCCACAAGAGTGTCCTACAAGAGTGTCCTACAAGAGTGTCCTGTAAGAGTGACCCACAAGAGTGTCCTACAAGAGTGTCTCACAAGAGTGTCCCACAAGAGTGTCCGACAAGAGTGTCCCATATGAGTGACCCACAAGAGTGTCCTATAAGAGTGTCCCACAAGGAGTGTCCTACAAGAGTGTCGTGTAAGAGTGTCCCACAAGAGTGTCCCAGAAGAGTGTCCCGCAAGAGTGTCCTACAAGAGTGTCATTTGGTTTGCGTAAGCCCTTCTTGCTCCAAGTGTACCGCGTAGGCAAACATGTGAGTCGCGTAAGGCCGGCCTTATTTACTGCTTTCCAGATGAAATACTTCTTTATCAACTTCTGAATGTTTCACCACAAGTTTGCACGTGCACATTCCCACATTTTTTAAGGGTTACCATGCAGGAGGAGGTTTCGACCCACAGCTCTGCCCAGCCACATCAGCATAACGTCTGATGCGCCACTATCCCCTACAGGCCCTACTCATACTCCAGATCAAAAGGAGATGGTGATGAGCCTGGACAACAGCTACCGCATGCGCGGACTGATCCATTTGGCCGCTGTTTTGGACGATGCTACCTTGCCAAAGCTCACACGCAGGCAGATTTCGCGATGGCAGCGTTACAGTGCGGAGAACATCTGTTTGTGCCACAAAAGGGGTTGCATGGCTAGACTTCTGGAGGGATTGTCCATCATTGCTGTGAGTTGACGGCACCTTGTTGCAGATTGAAAGGCTTGGAATGATGTCCCTTTTTTACAGTCCTCTGAAGTCAATACGCCTGATGCACAGTTCACCGCAATACCGAGGGATACACCATAATCATTCTTCCCAGCAGGCGATTTGCTCCACCAACATGATCAACCAGTTTTTTAATGCTTTGTCGAGTAGCATGTTTTTCTTCTTCCGGTCTTCCCGGCAGATCTGGCTAGGGCATGTACCTAAAGGACCCCAGTACCAGCTCTTGCGGCACAATATGTAGCAAGATGCAGAACAAATTTTACGTTTGATCCGTCACCCTGAACCCTTCAGGCGTGTGGTAGCTGACTCCAAAAAAATGTGGAATGAACTTCTCCAATGCCCACGCAACTGCTTTTGTACCATGTTCTTTTTGTTTTTTGAAATCGATTGTGCTGAATCTTCAGTTTGTTGCGAGCCATTCGGAACACGAAAGACCGTGCACCGCGACAGGCACTTGGAGAAAGCCTACGGTGCGAAGGCGCGTTGCTCTGCTTGATGCTTCGTAGGAGATTGTCCTTGAGCCCTTAATGTACATTTGTTATTTTGAGGGAATACTGCTCGATCAGTTGGGCCATGCTTAGCCACTCTGACGCTTTTGGTTTGTACAAAGTTGGGGAGAGCCCCGAACCATTGGTGCCATTGGGCTGTAGTTCAGTTCTATTGAACAAAATGATGCCATTCATATACCGTACCCAACATCCGTACCCCTACACGCTCATCAATTAGCTTCATGAGCGTGTTCATGGTGCTGTGGGTTCATTCCCAATCCGACGCCACATGGTCCACCAAGAAGACGCCGCGTGTTGCGAGGTCTTTGGAGCCCGACATCTGCGGCTTTGCCTCTCCAAGGCCAGAGGGTTTTTCAGGTCAAACACGAGAGTTTCGGAGATTCTAGAGTCGTCCTGGAGCAGATTAAAGATGAAACATTGTTGATTATCACAAATACGTAAGGATAGTGGATAGTTGTAAAGGATAATTACACTGACACGCATTTGGATGCATTTGGGATGAGAGAATGACACATAACCCCTAAAGTTTCTAGCTACTAGTATTTGGGAAAACACTTTGGAATCGTCTCATGAACACTACAGCTACTTGAGGACCAATACATGATCAACATGTATTCATAGTGTTTAATAGGCTCCTTGCTTGATGGATGTTTGGCCTTTGCTCGCACAGTTGCTTTTCAAGCCACATGTTCAGGCACAGCCTTTGGACTTCTCCATGCTCTTCTCCTCGACCTCTGCTCTCCTGGGCATCTCGGCCGCGATGATCCTGGGTGGGTGAATCAAGTGGATCCCTGACACGACTTGGAGTGTACCACCCAGGAATTGATGAGGTTTTGAACCACTTACTAAATGGAGCTGGAGCTGTTCTGTTTCGAGGTATGATCGAGTGTGATGTTATACACGTGTCGTATCCCGAGCATCAGTACACCGCATTGCACATTACCCCAAAATACCAAGAATTCGAAGTTTAGTGGTCCATGCCGTCTCTTCCTATCAAGACAGTGGATCAGATGGGTTGGGAGCGTTGCCCTTTGCTCCTAGTAGCTTCTTGCTCCTAGTAGTAAGGCCAGGAGCCCCTAGTAACGTCCTTGTTCCTGGGTTCCAAAATGCCCTTAAGGCCTCGGCAAGGCCACGGCGTGTGAGACGTGCTGAGGTTCACCTGGGCAGGGCAACTATTCGGCAGCCAACATGGCACTGGATGCCCACGCGCGTTACTGGAAGGCCGGCAGCGCACGGCGCACGGCAATTTTCTATAGATTGTTAGTTAATTTCTCGAATTTGTATGAAAGAAGGATGTATGGAAAGATGAATGGCCTCACAGAGAAACACCTGTCCAAACCCCTGAGATCATAAGCAGTGAGGCCTTGGGCGAGACGGTGGTTGCCGTGCAGTGGGGCCCTTGGCGGGAAGTGGGCATGGCCGCAAACAAGGGAACGGCCTCTTGGCGCAGTTAGCGGTGGGCGGAGCGATCAGTTGGTGAGTAGCTTCTTGTTCCTAGTAGTAAGGCCAGGAGCCCCTAGTAGCTTCTTGGTTGGAGCCAGGATGAGTTGGCGGTGGCTTTTTGTAGAGATTTAAAAAGGATGAAAGTGTTCCAGAAGGATGACAATCACTCCAGCAGAGGACTTGAGAGCTTGCAGAGAAAGCCCCTCGTCCATCCAAACTGAAGGAGTTTGATATCGACCTTGAGGGCTGGGGTTTAGAAGTGTTTCACCTCTTCAGTTTCATGCCGTAGAAGATTGGCCGTTGACAAATTGCGTCGAACTTGGGGATGTGCTTTTTGTGTTGGTCCAGCGTTACTCGCGGCTTCGGCCTCCAGGTCCAGCGCCTGAAGTCCCAGGGCTTGGGATCCATCGGCAACACGGCGGCCTGACGCTGAACGGAGTTCAAGCAAACCAGTTTCCAAGATCTTATCAAAGGAGTGAAGCATAATCAGGCTTTAGATATGAGTTTGGCTGACCACAAACAAACAAATCTGAAAAGGTTGGGTGGCAGGTGCCAGGCAGATAATCACTCCCGAAACATTCCCAGGAGCCTTCGAGTTCTAGTTTTATATTTATTGTTCCCTTCGTTACCTTTGAATGAGGCCCAAGGACACTGCAAGGTTGTGACGAAGACCAGTGGTGGCTCAGGAACATTCTCCATTTTAACAGCTATCAGATCATAGCTCAAGAATCGTTCTCCTACCAAAGCAGTTGGTGAATGGAACATAAATATAGCTTTGGACACCTAGATTTGCAATTTCTGCAGAACCAAGAGAAGACCTGTGATGGATCTGCTGGTGCCCTTGTTGCTGGCTTCTCCACAGCTACATCACCTCTGATCCAAGTAGCAAGAGCAGCCCGAGAGAGATTATGAAAGTCAGACACCGCACAAAAGGAATTTCATGAGACTGAACACTAAGAGTAACACTAACACTAAGGATACTAAGGAAGACTGTTCATCTCCACTGCGCACTCACCCACAGATCCGCTGATCATCCACCCATGCACCCAGATTCCCACCACCCAGCACACCCTAGACAGCGTCATCCGGCAGGTGGGTATGGCTGCTCTTGCAGGCGCCTTGGGCTCCGCATCACCCGTGGTGGCCGCATGTCCAGTTCATTGGGGCCAATACCTGAAGCAGCTCCTCAGACAGCAGTATGGGCCTGGGCAGGATCACTGGGGCAGGACAACACTTCGGACGATCCCAGGATCTCCCAGGATTTGTGAGATGTTTTTAGTCTTTGGATGTCGTTGGATAGTTGTTCTTTTGTAATTGAGATTGATCGAGGGTACAAAATATAGACTCAAACACAACCCAGTTGGAGGAACGCCATGGTCCCAACCTCCCCTGTAATGTTTGTGATTGCTACAAAGAGTACTATGCACAGTTTAGGTTGTATACGTAAATGGTTATGTCTAGACCCTGGGTATTCACCCCAGGGTCTGAGAATAACAGCGAGGGTTGGCAGGGAGGATGATGATTTTGTGTCACCTTAAGCCATGAGAAGCTGATTACTGATACTGCTTCTTTTTGTGTGTCAAGCGAAGTGGTCATAAAATAGCTGGGTGAAAAAACAGGACTTGGAGGACAGACAGCAACGGAAGACGCGCAGAAATACTGTGTATATATATATATATTATATATGATATTATGTTATTTGATGTCATTGTATAATATAGATAAGTACAACAAGGGACTCCGTGGGTCACACTGAGGTTTGGCAAGGCAGTGCCTCCATTCTACTCTCGTGGCACAGCAGCACGAAAGACCGGACGGCGGAAGCGGGTTGCGAGTTGGAGATCCATGTTCACCTGAGGTAGCCTCGTCACGTGAAAGGTTTCTTGTAAACCTCGCTATCGCTCTGCCAAGTGATAGTCCTTTTACGGTCCGGCCCTACCATCGATTAGGTTTGACCAGACCATGTTTTAGCATTGGTCCTATTATACTAGAATCCAGCTATATACATTGATTTTTCATGAATCTCTCCGATCCTAAACCTGGCTATATATTATATATATACACATAAATGTATAGATGAACTCCATGATGAACTTCGCGATGCCACCCCCTTGACGCCCCAAGGCTTCCGCCGCGAGGCCGCATCGGCCAGCCCTGCTGGCCCTACGGGTGGTCGGGCGCTGGCGCTGGGCGCGCGGGCAGCGCCAGCCGTGAGTGCGGACCAGGCTCGAGCCACTGGCAACTTTTTCGTATTTGAATGAGCACGGTGAGAAAACTTGTCATTTTGATGTTCATTTCCAGGGGTGGATTCCGGACGTTATTCCCTACTATATTGTAAACTAGATAGATCTAACGATGAAGATAAATGCACCCGCTGCCCCATGAGCTGCCATACAATTTAATAGCTGTAAGAATTGTTGGCAGTTCATCCGGCGGCCACACGTACCCAACCGTTTGCCAAAGTCAGGTGGTGTGTTGTGCTCCAGGATGCACAGTCTCAAGCTTCACGACTGCCAGGTGCAATCCATGGTCCTGGCAGTGGCTGGAGAAGTCACAGGTAGTGTGGTGGCTGCGCAGGACTCGACAGGGTCTTTTTGGGGTGCTGCGTTTGGGCGGTTTTGTTGGACATGAACCAATTCTTCCTAGGTGTGCTTTTTTTTAGGATTATCTAGGGAGCTTAGTCCAGAAATTGAAACTCCAATGAAATTGAGTGGCCCTTTCAATTACAATAGGAGCGGACTTCTTGCGTGGTTCCAGTGCAGTGCCAGGTGTTGTTTTTTAGTTGTTTTTCTTCAAGTCTTCTTGTTACTACTAGTAAGGCACTTGTTCCTAGAAGCGTGGCACCTGTTACTACTAGCGTGGCACTTGTTCCTAGTAGCTTCTTGTTACTACTAGTAAGGCACCTGTTACTACTAGCGTGGCACTTGTTCCTAGGTCTTGCGGAAATTCTCCATTTTTATCCATTTTTGTTCAGCTCCCAGACGAGCATGACGAAACGTCCAGGAACCATTGATGGAAGCTGGCATGGACTCGCTCTCCGCAGCTTCGTTTGCAGATCAAATGACCGGTTTCTGTGGCCCCAGATTCCGGAAAAGAAGATGAACAACTGGATTAACATGTTGAAACTTGTTTGTTTGGAAGGAAACTGATTATGGTCCAAAGATGACCAAAGATTTGAAGTGTTTGGCTAGTTCCATGGGTTCTTGTTCTGACTCCTATCCGGCTCGTATCTCTTTTTTCGTACATCGAGATGCTTGAGTGGATAGAACTTGAATGATAAACCTGAGCGTTTGTTGATTGGTTCTTTGTCAGGAATCCCTAAACCGGGGCCGAGCACCGCCACTTTTTTCAACCTTCAGCTATTATGTTTTCCGTACTTCTCGGGTGCATTTTTTGGGAATCCTCTTCGGAGCAGGTGTGTTTTGTGTAGTGACCAGGATTCCAGATCTCGTATCTTTGTTTTTTGGCTTGCTGCGCATGTGTCCGCTAATCGCCATCCTACAGACTGCCTACGTATGTTTTCACATTGAGTCGAAGAGTCCACAACGACATTTCAGTACTGTACATGTTGGTCATATTTTGGAAAGACCACGCCGACTTGAAGTGCATCCTCCTTCCCAGCTTAGTCACAGTCCCAAAAAGATCACTCTTTTGCTAGAAGCCCAAGAAGACAACCTTCGTTATATCAGCAAAGGCAGCAAAGGTGAGGGGAACTCTCCATGAAACTGTTCCTTGCTTGAACATCTTCTAGTTTCGCCATGCCGCCACCAGTGTCCTTCCTGAGGCTGTCGAGTTCCGCAACCGTCTCTCCAATGAGTTGCCAGGCCACCGTGGACCCACATCAAAACGGTCACAGAACAGAAACTTGTGGACTCTACTATTGGGATTGATGATTCGCACTGTTTTGCAGGGGGTTCAGGTGTGCATCTCCATTGATGGGTGGTTAGGTGGTTCTCACAAGTTTTCATTGGCTGCCAGTCCAGAATATACTATAGTTATTGGATGCTACTCGTACTATGTTCCTTGAACACCTCGTGCAGGTTTCTATTCCTTGTGGTGGGGTTTGAGCTGGTGATTACTTTGATGAGGTTTTGCATTATAGCCGTTGCGCAGGCATCAAGTTGCCGAACACCTTGATCTTCGACTATCCTACTGTCTCCGCGATCAGTTTCTTGGAGTTGGATGCTCATAATAAACCATCCCTGTGAAGTGGAGCAAGACAAGAGCACAGGAATGGAAAACACACATTTTGAACTATTTGTGCATATCCCGGGTCAACAAGAATACACCCTTTCCCTTTCCTAACCCTGTATCCTTTGTTACGCATTTGTTTTAAGTGTTTGGGGTTGGTCTAATGGTACTGTTTACTTTTGGCTACACTCAAAACAAGTACAGTACACCCCTGGTAGCTGAATATTCCGTGGGTTGCCACTATGTGATTATGTTTCTCGAAGATTCAGGCATTCATGACCAGAGTACCAAATTGTGGGCTTGAACAGGGGTATGGAACTCAGCTTGCTGTTTCTAGCAAGCTCAGGAAGACAAGATTCCTTGACACACATGATGAAGCCCAACGTTGATATGTGCTTTGTTCATTCTTGCTTCCCCTATCATCAAGGCATCCAGCCGCCAGCCATTTCTTTGCACATTGATGGCCGTCGCTTGGCAAGGCATGTTCGCCGCCTCACAACTCTCAGCCAGTCCAGCACAGGCACAGCCACAGGCGCGAAATGTAACGGTCTGTTTTGGGTGGCAGTCATTGATTGGGATCTGCATGAGGCGGTGACTGGGGCTGTTGAACATATCCTTCTGCCCAGGCTGCCGGCATTAGCGCGCAGGAGGTGGAAGCCGTGGTTTTGGCGATTGCCGGAGAGGTGACCGGGCACGCCGTTGATGCGCAGGAGTGACACTATGGCCGTATCGTGGTCAGAGGTGGTTTTGCAAGGAGTTCCAAGCTGGAGTTGCTGTTGGACCCATCCAGTGAGTGGATTTGCTAGGCACCCTTACCGGGACCTTACCCTCGACAGCTCTCCGGGAAGGGGGATCACTACAACCAGCACATACATGATCGAGTCAAAGAGTTACTGTATATCGAGGGAAACAATGCTTGGAAACAGATGCATTGCCAAATTTGGAGACTGTCCAGACAGTTCCACCTGTTCAGTTCAACGGACCACTCGGTCAGTGTGGGTTGGTTCCTTAGTGATGAGCGAAGGAGCAAACACCCATGGTTTGAGCGGTTCTGCAGGAGGGAGCTGTGTCCTGGCCGTTCAGGGCCAGCCGGGGCTGGAGCCGGGAAAGAATCGGCCTGGCTGTCCCTGATTTTGGAGAAGAAGTGAATTGCCTCAAAACTACATAAGAACCATTTGGCCTATATTGTATTGGACGTTGTTTCTATCCCCAAATGAGACTTTATAAACAGCATGTGCAAGCAACATTAAGCCACCGTGGATCTTCGTTTGATCCAGGAGCCTTTGATGGACTCGGGCATGGATTCACTGGCAGCGGTCGAGTTCCGGAATCGGCTCTCCAATGAGCTCCAAGGTGGGCACGGACAGACCGACACTCCCGTGATCATGGCCCGTGGCAGAACTGAACTGTACGTCTTGTGGCTGCGGGTGATTGAAGAATCCTTTTGAAGCAATCATGAGTTTGGAGAGGGAGTCTTTATCCTCCTACATATAGTCCACTCCCATTAACACCTCCTGGACCGTCCCCAAACCCTCCAAGAAGTCCATAATTTTGTCCCGTGAGGATCCGCAGATGACCCGACAATCCGACGCCCCAGGCGTGAAGCTGCCGAACACCTTGATCTTCGACTATCCGACGGTCAGTGCCATCAGCAACTTCGCAGCCTCCCAGGTTGGAGCCACCAGTGGCTCAGCCGCGGCCTTTGCGGCGGTGCAAGGTGGCTTTGCAGGTGGGACAATGCCGATGCATGGGTTTGCAAATAGGGAGATAGACGAGATAGACATGTATAAATCTCACATCATACTCTATTCATGTTAGATTTGATTGCTTGGCCCTCCACATGGGTAGATGACTGGCGAAGAACTGTTTGCAAAGCGCAACATATCTTGACCATCTCTGGGTGCACTCACAGGGATGACTATATACCAAGCACTGCAGCTGAAACCCGTAGCAGTGGATTGAAGGGACAGGCAAGATATCTACAGCATGCAAGAAGCCGTACAAGTCCAGGTGACGTAATGGATGGGTTGCATGGGTTGTGTCTGTTTTCCACCCAACTTGGAGCCCTTTGCGGCAAAGCGTTTGACCAGGCCCCAGTGCTGGGCAAGCCGCCAGCATCTCGGGCATGGCAGCGACCCTGCCGGGGCGACGTGATGAGGGCTTTTGGGAAGATTTGCTGGAGAAGAAGGCCTGCCTGGGACCTGGGATGGTAATGTTATTAGAATGGCTGATCCCGCAACTGGCCAGTGGAGATAACTTATTACAAAGTGGAATGGTTCACTCGCCAATTGGAAGCACATTAGAGGGTCAAACTCTAGGATCTTCATTGGTCGTGGCCACGGCCATGCATCGCTCTAGCTGTAAGGTTGCATCATGGAGGAAACGTATAGAGTTGAACAGTTCAACATATCTTAAGACTGTATTTTGGGCAGGGTCTCAGATATATGAACTGCATGAAGGAGATTTAGAAAGCATTCGCTTATGTGAACACCGTTGAAAGGGGTGATGGAACTCTTCTTAGCTGGAGTTGCAATGGGCTTCTCATGTTCTCATGGGTTGTTGGAATCCCTAGTTTCGCTACTTGAACAACATACTGAACAAGTGGTTGTGTTGTGTTAGTCTAGTCTATGTTTTTCCTTTTGCAAATTGCAGACCGATTGTGGTGACTTTAACTCCACTGTAATACGGGCAAATCACAACCGCAAGAATCATACCTAGAATCATGTATATGACTTAGTGCAGTTGTAGTTACATATTGTTGTGCGATGTTTCTTTTAACATGTAATGACAAGGACTATTAAAATTCTTCTTTTTCGAGAAGTCTGGTGCCCTTCACTAAACAGACATGTGACAAGTCTGTTCCAGGACTCGGTGGTGGAGATCCCCTTCACTCGTTGGGATTTGGAGATGTGGCCTGGCCCGCCTTTGTTTGGCCTCGGTAGGAGGGCCCATTCATTCGGGGCATTCATTTCTTGCCCTAAAAATCCTAAAACCTGTCTCACTGGCAGAGCATACGACCACAGGTCCAACTACCATAGGTGATGACAATTGTTGCTGCATCTTCCACATAACCTATTCATGTGGTACTCGAAAAGGGGGCAGGAGGGAAGACACTCCATTAAGAGCAATGGCCTCCTAGGTATGGCGAGGTTCCTGCAGGTTGGAAAGAGTTCGCCTCCTGGGACTGGTGAAAGATGTTGGACGTGTAGTCCCACTTGGCATGTCGCAACCATCGGCTTTGCATCCAGACCAGCATAAGCTTTGAGATGTTTTGAGACATAACTCAAGAAACCATAAGGAACCCTCTCTTAAACCTGTTTTTGCACGGTAAATCATCAGGAACACCCAACCAGCAACTACACCGTTCTATCCCCAACAGCAGCTTTTCTCCAATTCCCAGGGTCAACCATCTCCACACCATCTAATGAAATCAACCAAGCAAACCAACTGAACCAACCACCGCGATCCCCAATTAATAACCCAAACCAACCACCCGACCCCCAACCGCCTGGCAAGCCACTTGAGGTACTACAGTCCGGATCCGGATGCCCCTGGAAAGACCTATGCCAAGCACGGCGGTTTCATCGAGGGCGCCGAGCTCTTCGATCCCAGTTGCTTCGGGCTCAGCGCAGCCGAGGCTTCCAGTATCGACCCGCAGCAGCGGCTGCTGTGGCCTGGCTGGCGGAGTGCAGTGGGGGGACCGGTTTGGCGGGGAGTGCACTCGTTGTGGGGCAAGTGGGAGAGATTGGGAGATTGAGTTCGGGGTGTTTCAAGACAGTTTCACTGTCGTTTGAAGTGTGAATGTACAATTAAGATCTCAGGTACAGCAACTTTTTTGTTGAAGCCCAATCAATTGGAGTCTTCCAACTCATCCTGTGGTTTTTGGACGGGTCACCCCACAGATCGTGGGGCCTTCTTTCACGCTTAGCAACCGGGATCGAAGCAGACGATGATCTAACCGGCCAACGAAAAGCACCACCAAATTGATCCTATTCTAATTTGTTACTACTAGTAAGGCACTTGTTCCTAATAGCTTCTTGTTACTCTGATAGGTTGACGTTTGCGGCAAGATGCTGTTCATGTTCGGGTGTTGACAAAGGTGTTACGTTTTGACCCGGGAGCATATCAATGTTTTCCCACGCAATGGCAGAGCGAGAGGTTACATTTATTGTTTTTCTTGAACGGTGCTTCTGGGGAATCCCTTCCGATGGCTCCCTTGTGGACCCTCTCACGAGAGGGAAACATCCTGGCCATTGTCCTAGGTTGGAAGCTGCTCACACAGCCTTCACTGCAGCAGGCGGATAGAGAATGTGTTTGGGAGCATCAGGCAGTTTTGATCCTTTTCTTCTGAGACCCTATGCTTCATGGAGCGGTGATAAGCAACCACCCTGGAACTAGGAGGAGAAACTGCCTACGGCCTAGTCAACAATAAACCATCAATTAAAGGGTAGTTGCACATTAGCTACCGATGTTCATCCTCATGCTGTTGCGCCGAGCTTGATGCAAATTCATTTCAACAACAAAGCCTATGTATATATATATAATATATATACACATGAATCCCGCAGTAGACCTGCTATATCATGTTGTTATTCTGTTCATTACTTCATGAAGCTTTCCGGTGACACAAGCTGCCTTGAGAGGCCGAGACAAGGATCAGCTCATGGGTGCAGAGGTGGGTGTCTTCGTGGGTCAGTGTCAGTACGATTGGCTCCTTAGCGGCCACTACTTCGGAAGTGAATCATGAGGACTTCCAACAGTTGTTCCTATTGTAGTAATCACAGACGCTTGTAGCAGCACAGTTCGTTGCTATAGTCTGTAGTTGATATTTTGTTGTTCGGGATTTGGACTGTTTAAGCATATCTAAGCCATCTAAGCCAATGGGCCGTGGTTTTTTTCACCAATTGGACTGGCACTGGTCACTGAGGTTTGTGATGGTTAGTGTGGGTGACAAGTTCAACCCCTACACTGGCATCGTGGCAACAACATCGAGCCGAAGACAGGGTCAGCTCAAAGCCAAGCACTAGAAACCATTCTCAGCATGACGCATGTTTTTTTTTAATGAATAAACACATCCTTTTTAGCCTTTTTGGCCCGTGGCCATGCCTCCTTACTTAATTAAGTAGGCGCCTACTTAACTAAATAAAGGAGGTAAGCTACTAGCAAGAGGAAGCTACTACATTTGGACGCAGGATAGCTCAGCTTCTTTAAGGAAGCTCCCGCGCCTGAGGGCGGGGGTAGCTTCCTTGAAGAAGCGCTCACACTAATGATTTGGTTCCTAGATTTTTTTGGGAAACTAAAGCTTCTGCTTTTGTAATATTTTGGAATTTGGTCAGGCGCAGATGACCTTTTTTGCAAGTTCATTAATCAAGTATATATAGACCCCTCCATACCCCTCAAATATGTTGATTGCATGGATTCGGAGATCAACTTACCCAAGAATCCCATCAATTCCACACTTCTGAGTTCAGCAATTCAGCTCAGCTTCTGAGTTCTTGGCCTACATGCACTTTGCCCCAAACAACAGGATCAACCTACCCTGAAAACACCACTCAGCATTGCAGTGATGGATGGGTTTATCGACCAATCCGGTAAACATTACAAGTTGGTGGTGTTAGTTTTTGACGAGTTCGTGGTTGGGCGATTGGTGTGGTCAATGGACGTGAACACCAGTGGCCCCCTTTCATGGAACAAACACGTTGAACATGTGCAGAGTTCTTCATAAAGTTCCAGCATTGGACCTTCATGTTCACAAGGTGGCATGGAATTTTGTGGAACTTCAAAAGAGGACTCTCAAGCAGGAGGTCTTCACTTTGCATGCTTGGAGTTTGAATGAGTTTGACATAGGTTTGACATCCGGCACTGGGTGTGCATGTAAGAATCACCTATACCAAGGTGTGACAAGGGCCCAGTTGTGTTCATTGTCTTCGCTCCTTCCACGTCCTCTCATCTTGTTTTGTGAGGCACTGGCATCTCAGCCTCCATCAGTGCCAACCGCACGTCCTACATTTTCGGTATCAAGGGCCCGAGCGTCACGTGCCACATCAGCAACAGCCAGGGGAATTCGTCGATGTTCAGGATGTTTGTGTTTATGCCTACACAGCTGAAGGGAAAGCAAGCATAGAATCAGAACGACACAGATTTTTTGTTAAAAATCGCCTGTTCCACTGCCAGCATCGTCTTGCATCATTGTGATCTCGTGATGACTGGGTGGATTAAAATTCTGCTCCACTCCCCCCAAAAAACATTGGGCCTCAATAGCAAAAGGAACCTAAGAGCAATGGCCTCCTACCTACTAGCGATGGCTTTCAACCTATTGCTACCTATAGCTAACTAGCAAAGCGATGAGCAGACCAACTCACTCCTCACTGGAGACTTGACAAGCTTATTTAAGCTTATTCTTGTTCATTACGATTGAATTCTCAGGGTTTAGCTTCGGTTACCAGATTGTTCCTTTTTGCCCACGTGCGGATTGCCGATGACTGATAGATAGAATCTTAAATAAACATGCAGTAGCTTCCCAGATTCTAGGAGATAAGAACCAAGGTGCGATACTGCATGCTCTTCATCCTTGGTGGCGGCCGACGCAGCTCTGTCATCCCTGCGACGCGGAACAGCCGAAGCAGCGCCTCGTCCACATAACGACGCAAAAAATCGTTTGAAGAGTGAAAATGCGTGGCGCTGTGGCGGGCAAACGTGACATAGTGACTATGTCACCACTGCAGATAGCGGGTCGCGTCACCAGTGTTTCGCAATTTGATTCCCAATGTCTTTTTTCCTGCCAATGGCATATATGTTGAAGAGGATGTGTTTGTTCTTTTATGTTTTCAGAGGGACCTTCAAAACTTCTTGGTTTGTCAGATTTCTAGGCATCGTGGTTCACCCTCTGACCGGGCTAGCACGAAAAACAGACTGCCCATGCACGCCCGAGGCGCTTGCTGCGGGCACAAATTTGATCTTGGGCACCGGCCCTTACATCAGCTTTTTGGCATCGCTAGGAGCAAAGGGCATCGCTACTAGAAACAAGTGCATCGCTTCTAGTAACAAGTGCCTTACTAGTAGTAACAAGAAGCTACTAGGAACAAGTGCC